TTGGTAACTTTAATAACATTAACAAGAATAACAGTCCTGATAGCCATGACCTTATTAGATACCTTTAGTTTATTTTTAGTACATCGCAATGCAATAGGATAGTACTCATCTTTCCTCGCAAAAAAAAATGTCATTCTTGATTTATTTTTGGTAAATTTATAAAGTAATTTTAATTTATAAAATAATAAATGTTAATTATTTTATTAATTATTAACTATTTTTAAAAATCAAATTAAAATAAAAATTTGGTAACTTTAATAACATTAACAAGAATAACAGTCTTGTAGCCATGACCTTATTAGATAACTTTAGTTTATTTTTAGTACATCGCAATGCAATAGGATAGTACTCATCTTTCCTCGCAAAAAAAAATGTCATTCTTGATTTATTTTTGGTAAATTACTGGAATAACATTCCATTTACTTTATAAGAAAAAGGTTAAATTTTTTTTTTTATCCTTTACTTTAATAAAAAAAATTTTCTGAATCCCTTATTTTAAAAAATTTTATTTTAATCTTTAAAATTTATTGTTTAACTTCTTTTTAAGTCCCTTTATTTTTTTTTTTAACATATGACACATTAAATAATAAAAATTTTAAAATAGTAAAACTAAAATGTGACTTTTTTAAAGTAAAGAAACAAAAAAAGAGCTTTTTAAAAAATAATTTTTTAAAGTAAAAAACTTAAGAATGAGCTTTTTTATGTAAAAAAACCAAAAATAACTTTTTTTAGTCTCTATTTAGACATTTTACTTTAAAATTTTTATTGTCTAATGTATTTTATGTGTAAAAATAATAGAAGAATTAAAAGAATTGAATAATAAACTTTAAAGAGTAAAAGAAAATTTTAAATAGAGTGATTAAAAAAATATTTTTTATTAAAATAAAGAAACCAAATAAAATTTTAAAACGTAAGAAAATATATTATTCTTAAGTTAAACAAAGACAACATGCTAAGCGTTTTTTTTTTTTTTTTTTTAACATCATGTAAGTGTATTTTAACTAACCATTCTAAGCATTAAAGATTGATAATTATCATTTAAGTTTTTAACCACCAAAACATGCACTATGAGACACAAATATTCAACCATATATATATATACATGACTAATAGAAAATTGACAAAGTAGTTACCTTGATACATTTAAGTTCAAACTAAAATAATAGTTAAGTTATATGTAAAGCATGCATTTGTACACATTATTCAGTTAATATTATCAGCACCATAAAGCATGTAGAATTTGAATAATAAGCCTTTATCGAGCCTCCAATACTGACAGGGTAAGTTCATTAGTTGAAGATGATTCAAGTTTGATAAATGAAGAATTTGTTTCAAGTGATTTCTTGTCAACAATGAAACCGGGTTCTTTGGGTTGTCCTAGCGCAGTCTCCCTACCCAGCATGAAAACCACAGATGACATATTTGGCCTATCCTCAGGGTGTTGTTGAACACATAAGAGACTAATGTGGATGCACCTTAATACTTCAGATAGATTGCAAGACTCCATTACAAATGAATCAATCAGTTTTGAAGGATTTCCCTCCTTCCACAATCTCCATGCCTAAATACATAGTAGAAACTTTCTGTCATGTTCTAGTTAAAGGAAAGTAAGAAAGGAGGTCTTGAATCTTGATACTTACATTGCCAATAAGGTTAACACTGTGGTTGACATGGTAAAACCCTTTATTCTTCATTCCACTTATTATTTCCAGCAATAGTATTCCAAAGCTGAAAACATCAGATTTTATAGAGAATTGCCCGTCAATGGCATATTCTGGTGCCATATAACCGCTGCAACAAAATTATTTGAGACAAATTATATCAATGGGGATTTGTGGTAAGTTAGTATAGAGTGAGGACTCACTAAGTTGCAACCATCACTTTGTGTTCCCCTTAGGTTGAGACAAATTATATTAACAGGGATTTTGCAGTAAATTAGGTAGCACAGAAAGAGGACTTACTAGGTTCCAACCACCCTCCTTGTGTTTTCCTCAGATTGTTCTCCTCCAAACGTTCTAGCCATGCCAAAATCTGAAATTTTGGGGTTCATTTCACTATCAAGCAAAACATTGCTTGCTTTGAGATCTCTATGGATGATCCTCAGCCGAGAATCTTGATGTAGATAAAGAAGCCCTCTAGCAATTCCACAAATAATATGAAAACGCCTTGGCCAGTCCAATAGATTTCTTCTTGTGTGGTCTGTAACATTAACATGTTTTTCATATCAATGTAGTGTTCAACTAGTTTTAGATAGAGTTGCATAGAAATGTGGCAAAAATATCTGATGAATTTATACTCCTACTACTACTAATATTTGAACGGATTTAAGAGGAATCTATACCAAAAATGAAGAAGTCCAAACTTTTATTAGGCATATATTCATAAATCAGCAGTTTCTCATCCCCCTGAATGCAACATCCTAGAAGCTTTACAAGATTTCGATGTTGAAGTTTAGCTATAAGTGCTACTTCATTTTTAAACTCTACTAATCCTTGCTCAGAGCTTCTGGAGAGCCTCTTCACAGCAATTTCTTTTCCGTCTGGCAGAGTACCCTGGAAAGTGTACTTGTAAAGTTCATTTCTTAATAAATATATACTTCTTATCCTGGAAGTCATTTTTACTACATCTTTGAACATTTACCTTGTATACAGGACCAAAGCCACCTTCTCCTAGCTTGTTGTGGGAAGAGAAGTCATTGGTGGCCCTGGATATTACCGCTAATTCAAATAATGAGAGTTCGATATCTTCATTTTGCCCTTCATTGCTCGTGCCATTTCTTCTTTCTGAAATAGCGGGGAATTTAATCAAAACCAAATTGTAAGAAAAGAACCAATGGAAGTTGCTATCAATATTTAATGGCAAAAAGATTTGTGAAGGCAAACAAGCATGCCTTCTATGTTTTGACAGCCCCTGCGAATGTAATAGGTGATTACAAGAGCACCAATAACTACAAGAATAGTACTTGCAATTATCAGTCCTGCCTTCATTTTAGTCTTGCCTTTTGTCTCGCCTTTTGTCTCTTCATGGTCTAATTCAATAAAGCAAAGAAGAAATATATGAATTAGTATTGTAGCAACGAAATAGTTTCACAAATTAACTGGAAATAGAACTGGAAACACCCAACATAAAGAGGAATCATAACAAAACTTCAGGAAATACTGAAATGTCTAACCTAATACCTGAATCAGAAGCAGCCATTCGAACATATAAATCTTGTCCAGAAGATTGGACCTGTCTAAGATCAATTAGATCATCAAACCAAATTGCACAACCGCTGGATTCTTTAATATTCAAGGTTGTATAGGCCATACAGGAACAATTCTCTAAGCATTTAGCCCTGCACTCCTTGAGGTTCATACTTTTATTCACCCAAGAATGTGCAGTATCTGGCAGTTTCAGCCCACCAAATTTGATAAACCCATCACCTTCGTGGCAAGCTAAAGGTTTATTGCGCACGCATCCCTGAAGCCAGTCCACTGAGCTTTCTTCTTGCGATTTTGGCTTGAAACCTCTTAAACATTGACAAGGCGGTAGTGCTGTACTGACACAG